ATCCCACGGTGAGTAGCCAACTGAACCTGCAAGATGCACTCCTCTGGATGTTTTGGTCAACTGTCGTCTCATGGGAAGCAGTCGCCGCGGAAAAGGAGAAGATGATAGGGCGGGGAGCTTTCCGTGTCTGGTGAGTCCACCGCTAGACTGACGTTATTGTTGCGGCCCGTTCGGGGGCGAGGTAAATTGTGTAGCGGGGAAAGTAGCTGAGACGGTGACACGGTGTAACCAGCGACTGGTGGTCTGAAGCTGGGGACAGGCTGATCGCGCGTCAAGTTGCTCACAAGAGATTGGTTTGCGGACATCGGACTGGAGGTGATCGACGGTTGTGGGCACAGTGCGACTCGTCACGGGATGGAAACCCGTTTGTGCAATGTCTGGCGAGGAACGCTGTACACACCGTATCCATGATATTGTCTAATGTCTTGCCAGTCGAGATTGCTGATCGGTTTCCATCTGGCATTTCCCTGGTGTCAAGTTCCGCTCGGGTACGTGTTTGCGGTGGTTATTTCCACGGCTACGTTGCCTGTAGTTTGGCCTTACACGTTGCGCGGTGAGCAGAGGTTCTTGGAACCACTAACAAAACCTCGGATAACATGGCCGAGGCTTGACGGAAACAAATAAAGGCTAAACAAAGTCAGGGAAAGCTAGCGTCATTCGTTGATCTGGTCCCAGCAGGTCGAGGACACATCCAGATCCAATCGCTGTTGACAACTCCTTACAGTCTCATGAACATCTTATCTCGACACCACCCAGAGCCGGTGAGGAGCCTCATTGTCTCTCATACCCTGCTTAGCCCATGATATTGCTGTGACTGGGGTATGCAACGACGGACTACATTAGTTAAGGCGTGAAACCCCGGAAGTGAGTACACTAAAGCGAAGAAGGGCTTCTGTGAGAGACAAACCAAATTGCCAGTGCCGATGGTGGTGTTCAGACGCATGAAGCACCTCGCTTACACCAGCACTGTGCGAAGCGGCTTTTCAGGGTCTTATCCCGGTTCCCACAAACTCGATTCGTCAGCAACGGTGGGGGAAGAGACAATAACGGTATGGACGGTTGGCAAAACAGGGAATGACGAATGCAAGGGTTTGCAAACATGTCCATCGAGTGGTCACAGCGCAACCGTGCTGTGTGAGAGGTACTTTCTCTTACGGATATCCTCTCCATACTTATTGAGAGGCACAGATGTTGACTGGCAATGCCTTGATTGATTCTGGTGCTTTGATGAGCTTCTCAGTCGCAGCCAGCGGGGAGAGACACTTTCCGGTAACACCACCAGATAGCCGCACGACTGCATACGGGATGTGACGGTGAATCAATGACGCAGCTCTGAGAGCGCAAGCATTGCAAAGGATTAAGTAAAAAAAAAAAGAGGGAAAAAAAAGTTTGTTGCGGATTGACATCTGCAGGGTGATAATGTACCTGATGTAGAGAAGAAAAAAGGAAGCTGAGTAGTGCCGGATGAGGGGGTCGGCAGCAAGCAGGGTGGGGGAAACAAATGCATTTTCCTTGGCGGGCAGGAGGAATGGGATTCTCATGAAATCTGCAGCCATTTCATCATGGGAACTGCACTCTGCTGACCCCTGTCGGACCTTGGGGGTTGCCTGTGGGGCGCACGGCAAAACCAATCAGGGTCCCTGTCCACTGCGGTCCACTGGCGTCATCGTGCTGATCCCCAGTTCTGTGGATGCATCCGGTCTTACCCTGGAAAAACCGATGGACAGAAAAGCAGGGGACTGCTGCCTGAGGCACAAACCTTAAGTCGAATTCGGAGGCGGCCATGCACCCGCGCATGTGGCGCCTGGGGAAAGAGAAGAGAGACAAGACACCCACAGGTGCCACGAGAGAACGCCCAAATCGAAATCGGCTATCGTTGACATGTCCAACCTGCATTAAAAGTCCCTTTTTACTTCGTCTCTAACCTACACTAGACCTTGGACCTAGTGTATGTAAAAGCCTCGTATTCACTACTGCTCCACGACTCACTCGCGCGGCTAATCTTCAGTCCTTCATACTTCGATCGACGTTTCGCTTTCCGCAGCAAGCAACCCAAAACAGGTCCCCGGCCCTCCGCTCCTTGTGACCACACCGAGCCAGCGAGTTAGATACCCCTCCCGCCCCCTCTTGCGCTCACAGCCAATTCGTCCGCCCTTGGACGCCGAGAAGAACCACCACAGCAAGGCACGTCTCGCTGATCGCGGGAGGAAAAAAAGGACGCTCGCTCACCTTCTGACCAACGCGCCAACCTGTCAGCTTTTCCCTGTCTCCGCTACAAGCTCCAACGGTAACGGAAGCGTCTTTTTGCCGGAAGTTTCCGCCGGGTCAGCTTAGGGCGTGACACATCTTCACTGTGGGCTGGTGTTGGTCCCCTTTTTTGCCCTCGCACCACAAGCCGCCTCCACGGGGACCCACGACATCCACCACGACGGCTGCCCTCGACCCACAAGTGCGCCAGTGTTTCGCTGCCACCTCCCTGCGCTACCCTTTTCCACACCAAACATCCCCTCTCTGGTTTCCACTCAGAGTTCCGCTGCCTCTTCATTTTTTTCCCTCCTGCCACGCCCTCCCGGCCTCCCGCTTCCCAAGCAAGTTGCAGCCCCGACGACACTTCAGCCCTGTGCTACGCAGATTGGCGAATGGTGGCAATAGCAAGGTAGCTTAAGTGACGGTGAAGGAGGAACTGGCTTTCTTTTTAGTTTTCTTCCCTCTCTTCTACCAAGACGGCCCATCCCACACTAGCCCAACATTCTACACACCGCTACCTTTCGTTTCGACCATCAAGCCCTCGACGAAAAGTGCGCACCCACTCGTCGATTAGGACTACGATTCGAGTTTATACAATTATGATGGGTGACCTTAGTCCTCGAAAGTCGCAGAGTCCAAACTGGTCGGATTCAGGATCAGGGACGTCGGGCGACCATGTCAATATTCTTCACGAGCCGGTTCCGACACGGCCTCGCCTCCCCAGTCGAAAGAGCAGCGGCACTATGATCGTATCTCGCGACTCCGCCATCGGCCCGATCGAAACCACCTTTGCACCAGACGATGTGAGAAGCATGAGCCCGAGGAGAACCAGCGAAGACATTGAGTCGCTTGGCAAGGAGGCCAGAGAAGAGTTGCAAAGGTGAGACCTGGCGGCGCATCACGAAAAGAACCAATGCACCGGTGCCGGACGCGAACTAACGCCGTCACAGGCACGCAAAAGCGCTCCAGGACTCTTTGATTGTCTTGTTCAACCGAATAGAAGCCGTCAAGGAAGAACACGACAAGTTGGACAACCACAACAAGTTCCTTCAGAAATATATTGGCGACCTCATGACAACGAGCAAAATTACCGCTTCGAGCAGCCGAGCGAAGAAATAGATCAGTCGATTCCCTGGGACACGCCAGGAGAATTAGGATGGAGGAGTGTTGAACCCGAGGACGTCGCAAACGCCCGATGATGCCGTCACCGCCACCGGGCAGGACTCATTGTGACACACACCAACGGGCATTGAGGATGCTCATCCTGTGCCACACGATGCGTACAGTAGCAGATCACCGTTCTTGGTCGAAGAAAGACCTCAAACGACACATCCCGACGGAGGCAGAATACCAGTTCCCCTCACTTGAAACGGGCCATATTTGGGTTTATTTATTTTTACAGGAGCCGGAGTTTGCGCCTTTTGTTTTATTAATTACACTACGATACCACGACGCGAATCTCGGTTTGGCTGGCTCATGGGTAAAAGAAAAAGAAGAGATTACATGACCCCCCCTCAGCATTTTGGTATTCGGGGGTTCAGCACAGAGAGAGAACATAGAGAAATTCTCTCCCTCTGGCAAAGCGAGCGAAGCAAAAACAACAACAGAGCGCTCAGTATTCACCGGAATTTGGGATCAAAGGGGGAGAGGGAGGTTTTGGGCATTGGGACAATTACATGACAATGGCGTTTTAATGCTTTCGGCGGGATTGTTTTTTTTAGTTTATGTTTTACTTTACTACTTATGAGAGAAGAAACCCTTCTCACTACTTCTTGATAGTTGCGATTTATTCGGGGGATGAAATTTTTTAGGGGGATTCTGTGTAGATAGGATATGATTAGGTGTCATTGTTGCTGTTGTTGTTGTCTAGCGACCTCGGAGAGGCGAGCCAACCTGGAAGGCAAGGTAAGGAATTGCTGTTGACAAAATGATCAGATGAACTGTTTACTTTTTTTACAAGCTGGTCCCATGTGCGGGATGCTAGTGTACACTAAACTGGCATGTAGCTCCATACACCTTACGATGGTTTGCATTGGGATCCTGGGCGGCTGAGGGGGAAGAAATGTTTCCGAGAAGCTGGGACACGATGGATGGTCCCTGCGTGCAGAAAGGTCACGGGCGTTTTGCCGCTTTGGTGGGTGGGCATTCCGGTATCAGGGGACTTCTTGGTGGAACGTGGAACGAAGGGAACTGACGTCACTGGAGGCTGAGGCTGTTGCCAAAGCGGCTGGCCGGGGCTGGGAGGGAAGGAGGCTGAAGTATGCAAGTGTTTTGGAGTGGTGGCTAAAACATAATCGAGTGTCTGCCTGATTGTCTTTCGTCATTATCTGGGATTCGTTGGATTATGGGTCATTTTGTCAGTGGATGGTGCTTGTTGAAGTAGGTTTGGCTTCGAAGGTCGGGTCTGCATTCCGCTTGTGGCTTACAGTGAGGTACAGAGTACATGCTGGGCGTTTGTGGCGCTTGGGAGCTGTGGTTGCGTTGCATTCATGATCCAGGAACAGCTGTTCAAACTCGGCCCATTATGAGTCAGGAAATGGAGTGGAATGGTGATCGGGATCAGTTGATCAGAATTTCGTATCCACGAGTGCCGTCAGGGCAGTGGCGTGGTGTCGTGTTTGATGCCAAGGGAGATGACCTCATGTTTTGTTGTTGACTTGTGGAATTTTGACAAAAAAAGATGAGGTTCATAAATGGTTGTGCTGGTGAAGGTGCTTAACGACAGGCCAATCATCATAACAGGTTTGTTGACAGCCCGCGTGGCGCAATTGGTTAGCGCGTCAGACTTTTAATCTGAATGTTGCGAGTTCGAGTCTCGCCGTGGGCGTCTTGGTCATGTCAATTACTCCTTCTGGTGTTGAAGTGATTTTTTTTGAGCCTTTTTTGCACTCTGGTGCTTTTGTGTGTCTTGGTGAGCATGATTCCAGCTGTGAGGCATCATTGTGGTGGGCAGTTTTGTGGGGTTGCATTGTTTTTGTTAGCCGAAGGCTTGTCATGATGGTTCTCTGCAATTGAGAGCAGGGAGAGAGCGGAATTGAACATCTGCACACAATGATACATAGGTGATTCCTTGAGAAGCTGGTATATGTCCTTCCTCAGACCATGTGTCTCAGGAAGGCATCGGGGCTAAGAGGCTGAGTGGGCGGGGTTGTTGGTGCCTGATCCCCAACGACGACACCATTCTGCAGGCACCTGCTGACGTTCTCATTCTACAATAATACAGGAGGCACTGTCAGGAATTGGAAACCTTCTGGCACAAGATGGCCAGCCCTAACTTCTCAATTGCAGCCCAGCTCTATGACCCCATTCTTCTTCCCATTTCTAGTCAAACCGGCGACGATTCCTTCAGCATCCGCCTAATTTCCGTCATTTCATCCCCCGGCGAGCCCATCAGCTGTCGGCTCTGGGCAGCTTCCTTCAATGATGCAGCAACAGCAGGATACTTTGCTCTGTCCTATGTGTGGGGTGATGCATCCATCACGGAGAAGATTATGGTCAATGGACTTCCCTTTCAAGCAACCAGGAACCTTGTACTCGCCCTGAAGTGGTACTCGAAATCCGAGTATGTTTCTCATCCGATCTGGGTTGATGCTGTTTGTATCAATCAGTGCAACATACCTGAGCGCAACGACCAAGTCCGCTTTATGGGCTCCATCTACACCTCTTGTTGGGAGGCTTTATGTTTCCTCGGCCCTAATGCTGATGAGGAGGACGCCAAACTATTTCACCTGATCAGCTCCCTTTGCCAGGACCTTGAACACCCGGACATGCAGGGCGAGAACCCGAGCTTGACGCCTCTCACACACCCATTTTATGCCGGAGTCGTTGAGAACATCAGCAATACCTCGCTTCTCAGATCTCCAGTTTTCCAAGACCGCGTCTACTGGACTCGGGTGTGGACATTCCAGGAGGCTGTTCTTTCGCCGGCAGCTCTCTTAGTCATAGGGGATCGTGTGTGTTATGTTCAAGATATTGAGAGGATTGCTGGTTGGGTATGCAGTGATCCAGTTTACTCTCTTGTGACATCGAATAAGATTCCAGAGGGTGTTGATGCCAAGCTTTGGAAGCTGGTTACAGGCGTCTTATTTGATCTTGAGTCTGACACCTGGCTCTCCGACATCATTCTTACTCGAAAAGCATTGATGCTTCCCAACTCGCAACCCTTCACGCGATTATTCTCCATGGTTATACGCACTGCGGCTCGAAACTGCTACGATCCAAGAGACAAGCTCTATGGTTTGGCGGGCATTGCCGATATTGGTATAAACATCGATTACGACGCACCGGTGGCCGATGTCTACACCAACTTCGCGGCCAACATGGTCCGCAAGACTGACGATCTTTGTCACATGTTTGTTCTTATTGCAAATGGCCAGGAAGACTCAGAGTACGACATTCCATCATGGGTTCCTGTTTACACCTCCAACAAGAACTTTTCATTTGCAACTTACCACCATGCCAACCGCTCTGCGCCGTCCACAGCCAAGTCAATCATTGTCGACGGCAAAACTCTTCGAGTCAGCGGTATCGTGATGGATGCTGTCGAGGATGTCATGCCCCCAACCTCTCACCTGCCGGTCTCCTGAAACAGGACGAAATCTGGCGACGATCCCGAATAAGCACTGTCGCGCAGTTTCTTCTTGGTCAAGACGCGAGAACAATCTTCTCTCAGGCCCTCTCCGCTCCTCCTAGCCACGATTTATACAAGACCAATATCTCGTTACTGCAAGCGGCACTCCGCCTGCTGTCAGAGGACAATGGCCTCCGATACGGTGTGTTTGCCGGGGAACCTGAGTCGCCCAATCGACCAGAAGCCATCCCGATACTCGTTGATGCCCTGATGTCGGATCTCCCAGTCGACGAGCCGCTCAAGGAGGTTTGGAATGGCCACGACCAGGAACGAATGAACCTAGACGAGGCAAAACAGATTCTCGCCGAAGTTTTGGACAACCAACGAAGCGAGCCTCTCCATCCATCGGCAGTGGTCTCCGCAGCTAGAGTGGCCCATGAAGCACAGCATTCTGCTCGCGAGCTGGAGATGAGGTACAACCCCTTTGTGGATACTGCGGCAATGGTACCAGTTCGCACAAAGACGGGGTACATTGGGTATGGAACCGATGGTGTGCAAAAGGGGGATCTTGTCTGTGTTTTGGGGTCTTGTTCTATGCCTGTTATTCTGAGGGAGGCCGATAAGGAAAAGGGGCAGTATAAGCTGATGTCGCTTTGTCATGTGCTGGGGGCTAAGAACGGCGAGGTATGGAGTTGGGGTCGGAAGGTTGAGGAGTTTAGAATTGTGTAGGGAAAGGGTTATAAAGAATAGGTATCTTCTCGTCCTGTGCATATTGTTTTTACCGTGTATGTATAGGGAGCATCTATCTTGGTTAAGACTGGGTAAAACAAGAAAGAAAAGAGATGCAAAAAAAACAACAACGCTGAAAATCATAAACACTTATGACGGGCCAGGAGTCGAGCCTGGATCTTTGCTCTAACTCGGGAATACATTAATCGCTATGCTACCATACCACGGAAATCCCTCCTGGGAACGGGAATGAAGTGCTGCAGTCTGGTCTGGTTTGGTCTGGTTGTGGCGGCAAAAAAGGGATAAGTGGCGGGCGTTCCGTGACTGGAACCAGGCGTCAAATTTCGTGAACCTTAAAAAACGCGATTTTTGGGACTTTCATGACTCGTTCTTCCAGAACCTTAAAAACGCAGGTTTGATTTTGAAAACACGGCTGTTGGGAACCTTGAAGGCGCCCCTTTTATCTGCCAAGATGACTCTGTGCCCAAGAGAACGAGACTTCACAATGTACCTATTTGGTAGTGAGAGAGCCACGGCGAGGTGTGCATAATTGTGGCTTGTTAGAATTTTTCAACCAGCTTGTCTGATCTGTCGAAATAGGATGGTGTTTAAGCATGAGGTGAGCTCTACCTAAACTGGACTCAGTCTGTCTTCAGCAAGTCAAGATCTCAGCATCAGAGACTTGGGGTGCTGGATGCCAAGTGTCATGGAGAGGACATGAGAATGATTGCGGATAGCCTGCGGTGATGGCTTCAAACCTTGACTCGATGAAAACCAGAGGTATACTAGGTAGTGGGTTAACGCTAGTCTTTGCCGTCGGCGAGTTTTGCTGCATGGAGGAGGATATCTTTGGTCTTGGGAGAGGTTGGAGTGTATTGTTGTTGATTTGCTGCTTTTGCTGCAAGAAGAAAGGTTATCGAGGATTCAAAGATCAGGCAGAGGTATATTTACCTATGTTTTGGGCATATTTTTGTTGGCTTGATGCTGTTCGGCTGCATAGAAATGGGTGTTACTAAGTTAGAATCAGGGCGGTGCATATACCCCGGTGTTCTGCAGGCAAGAAGTTGGTTTTGTTGGTTATCAGTGAAATTTGGCTGCTTCAATCTGAGATGTATGTGTCCGAGTCCCCGTTCTATGCTAGATGAGCCTAGAAGAACCTCCAGACGGAATCAGGCCCCTTCGCCTTCTTGAACCCTCCATACCATCTGCACAACGGATACAAAATTGCCAGGAGCAACCCCCAAGTGAGGAAGAACCCCCAAAGCTGATCAACACCACGAGCCGGTTGTTTGCTGAAAGGATCACTGACTTCTCTGCCAATCAGCGCAATGATGGGGAATGATAAGACCCCGAGCATGAGGATGTGAATGATATAGAAGAAGAGCGCCGATGTTCCATAGACCAGTAGAACATGAAAAGCCTTGCTCGCAAACAATGGAGGAAGGGCGCTAAAGAGTGCCAGAAGAAGGTGGTTTCCCGCCATGGTGAACGCCCAAAAAGCCACATCAGGAGGGTATTTGGTCAGGTAAAGGAAGGACTTGACCGAGGCAAGATATTGGTCCCCGCCATGCTGGTGCTCCGCCATATCCAAGCACCCCTCGGACAAGTTTCCAAAGTGGAAGAGTCTCGTAAAAACAAAGACCAGTGTAAACCCAAGACCGGCGAGAGCATTCCCCAGTGTGATAGCCTTTGCACTCCAAGCCCGCGCCAGGATGATCCTCCCATAGAGCAATCCCAAAACCGGAAACGACATCCACGCCAAAGGTGGAAACCCAGACTTAACCCTTTCGTCCATGATAGGGTAGAACCAAATCTTGATCCAATCACTATCAGGCAGCTTCGGCGTCGGATCAGCACCGCACCTCCCTCCAGTAGGACTCAACCAAATATTCCACCAAATCATCACCACCGCCCCAACCGCCAAAAAGACATTGTGAATATGCCACGAGATATCCGCCGCCCTGATAATCTCCACATCAGGCGCCATTTCCTCTTCTCCATGCAACCGAGGCAGCGGACCAGGAAGCAACGGCTCAGTCACATCATCCTTCTTCCCCAAAGGTAGAAACTTCAGCATCCCGAATGCCAGCAACCTTTCCGTCTTGGCCACAACCATCCAAGTCAGCCCAGCCAAAAGATAATCCACCGCCAGACTGAACAAGACCATATTCAAGAACCACACTTTACCACCCGAGATCCCCAGCCCCATAACAGTTGATATCACAGTCAAAACCACCGCCCTGACTAAAAAGTGCCAGCCCAACTGCCGATTCGTCCATTTCCTATCTGGCGGGCGTGAAGTGCGCGACCTGCCAAAATATACCACCCCCATCCCCAGCAAGAACGTAAAACCCGGCGCGCAGAGATGGGTGAGGGTTCTGATGATGTAGGCAGCAGGGCGATTCCATTCGTGTACGGGCGCTGAGTCGTTCTCACCGTCGATTGCGGTGCCATGGGGCCAGGAGCGGAGCATCAGTGAGGTGTTATCGAGGGCCATGAAAGTCATGAGGAGACCTCTAAGAAGATCA